CCCTTGTCCCGCGCCGCTTCCCGCAGCCCCCATTGGCCTGGAGCGGCGAACCATGGCCAGTGGGAGCCGCGATCGGCCGAACCTGTGGACCCGGCAGGTAAACAAACCGGCTCGGCCCGCCAAGGGCTTTCCCTACACAAGCGGTGGCCCCAGTTTGAGAACCACTGCCCTACATCCACCCTGTGATGGGTTGGGTCACAGAAATCCCCTTGGGACTGCCACCTGATGTGCTGAGACTACCTCTGAGCCCGTTTTTCCTGGCAGCTTGGGACTTCAGTACCCTGTCTTGCTGAGCCAGACACGCTAGCCTGCTGCAAACACAGACCCAGGTCTGAACCACGTCCCCCAGAAGCTGCAGACATAACTGAAAATGGCTTAGAAAGTGCTCCTGTCTCTAGCACGCAGACACCCAGCTCCCAACGGGATCCAAGCCCCAAATGAATCCATTTTACTCATTATATAGCTTATACGGGGTAAACTCATAAATTGTTTGCCCTCTATAACACTGATTGATAGAGAGATATGCACAGTTGTTTGCTCCCCCGGGTAATAATTACTTGTTCTGGGTTATTTAATAAAAGTGATTTTATTAAGTATAAAAAGTAGGATCTAAGTAGTTCCAAGTAATAACAGACAGAACAAAGTAAATTACCAAGCAAAATAAAACAAAAACACGCAAGTCTAAGCCTAATACAGTAGGAAACTGAATACAGGTAAATCTCACCCTCAGAGATGTTCCAATAAGCATCTTTCACAGCCTAGACTCCTTTCTAGTCTGGGCCCAATCCTTTCCCCTGGTAAAGTCTTTGTTCCAGCTCAGGTGTGGCTAGGGGATTTCTCATGACTGCCCCTCTTTGTTCTGTTCCACCCCCTTATATACCTTTGGCACAAGGCAGGAATCTTTTGTCTCGTTGGGTCCCCACCCCTCCTAAATGGAAAAGCACCAGGTTTAAGATGGATTCCAGCACCAGGTGACATGGTGTCCTGTGAGACCCCAAGCCTTCATTCTTCCCAGCCTGACTCACAGGAAGGCTTGCAAGTAAACAGCCATCTATAGTCAATTGTCCTAGTTGATGGGAGCCATCAAGATTCTAAACCACCATTAATGGCCCACACTTTACATAACTACAATAGGACCTCAGAGTTATATTTTATATTCCTAGTTTCAGATACAAGAATGATACATTCATACAAATAGGATGACCACACGCAGTAGATTATAAGCTTTGTAATGATACCTTACAAGAGACCTTTTGCATGAAGCCTATTCCAGTTACATTATATTCACACTCATTAGTATATTTTCATAAAATGATATGGAGTGCAACGTCACACACCTTTATTCCAGGACTGTATTCTAGACAGCTCTTGAAAAGGGCCAGACAAATTGCTATTAAGTATGTCCCTGTTAATTTTAAAGTCATTAAATAGATTTGAATCATTATTTTAAAAAGCAGAAAACAGCGTATAAATGTTCTGATCACAAGCATCAGTGCAGTAATCCTGCAGCCCTGGAAAGTTTTTGTGCACACGTACATGGAGATCACTGGTTACATTTCATTTGGGTGACGTAAATTTGAGAGGATTTATGCCCCCAGACATAATGGGAGAAAATCATTCAATAAGATCTGAAACCCAGTGATTACATTTTTAAAAGGACACCGTGGACTGAGTTTAGGACTGACATTTAGATAAGAGAAGTTGGAGGGGGATGTGAATAAATGGTTTCACACAGCTGAACAGGAGCAGAAATGGTTTATGAATTTATTTTTGTTTTACATTTCAATGGTAGTTGCCTTTCTATGTGCATTGCAAACATTCCCACTGCAGTGCAGGAAACCCTAACTCTCAGTGTTGAGCCAGGAAGTGAAACAGTCTAGATTCACACACAGACGGGTCTATTTTCATTTTCCTGGCTTAGGGCTTGTCTACACTACCGCGGTAGTTCGACGGCTGGCAATCGAACTTCCGGGTTCGATTTATCGCGTCTGGTGTGGACGCGATAATTCGAACCAGGAAGTGCTCGCCGTCGACTGCGGTACTCCACCTCAGCGAGAGGAGTACCGCGGAGTCGACGGGGGAGCCTGCCTGCCGTGTGTGGACCGCATCTGAACCGCGGTAAATTCGAACTAAGGTATGTCGACTTCAGCTACGTTATTCACGTAGCTGAAGTTGCGTACCTTAGATCGAATTGGGGTGTTAGTGTAGACCAGGCCTCAGTGAAGAACAAAACAGATGGTATAAACCATGCAAAGTGAATTACTTTTTAAAAAGTCTTTCTGTTTTAGGACTCTCAGGTGGCTTGAATAACAAACTGAATGATTTTTTTTTTAAAGATATGGGTCCAGAGCCTCAGCTGCTGTCAGCTGGCCACTGAAATCAGTAGAGCTGCAGCAATTTACACAGCTTTACTTGAGTTTTATGCTGACTGTGTCCCTTAACTGAACACAGGAATTTTTTGCTAGAACATTTTATAACTAGGATTATGCCACCAAATGCAGTCTCGTGTATTTGAAGAACCATCTTGCTGGGCCATCCTCTATTTCCTGTAGGAAGGACTGTCCATCATTTGCCCCCCTAGATTTCCTCTTTCTGGTCTGGTACTTTATTAAGTATTTCTGTAAACAGAAATGTCCATTAAATATTTAAGTTAAGATTTGCAAAGTCACCTAAGGAGTCCGACTGCCCAGTAACTATTCATTTTAATGGGAACTGGGTATCCAGATCCTTTAGGCAGCATTGCCAATTTCAGTCTGAAAGGTTAATAAGTCAAAACCCCAGGACAGCTGAGGGTGGGCCCTGACCCTCGTAGAGAGTGTTTTTGCAAGGGCTGCAGCCTTCTATCTGTAAAGAAAATTGGCCTTCATTTCTGAACTGCCCAGTGGCATTTTCCTGTGTCAGCGAAGTTCTTGCTTAGCAGCGTAAGGAGTAACGTAAAGGTGACAGGCCTTATTTTAGATGTTCCTATTTCACATTAGCTGAAGGCCATTAAATGAAACTGAACAGTGACTCATCAAATCACAGGAATCAGACATTCAAAAAAGACCTTGCGGGTCACTTAGTCTGACCCCTTCAGGGGCCAGCATGATCACACCATACAGCCTATCCTCCAGGGCTTTGCCTTGTCTAGTTTTAAATGCACCATGCAGTGGGGCTCCTACTGCTTCCCTTGGGTGGCTTTTCTACTATTTAACAGCTCAGCAGGCATGTTGGTCACAGCTAGTGCGGGTGCAGCAGACCAGACCTTGTCTTCCAGGAGAAGGCAATTGCATTGCCCTGTTGCACCATGACAGTGCATTAGCCCCAAAGGTATTTGGAGAGGTTTGGTTTTTTTGGTCCTCAGGCAATGTGGGACAAAGCAAGTTTGCCCTGTGACAACAGGGGTGGGTAGGGGAGAGCCATTCCGTAGTGAATACACCTGCAGCTAGTGTGTGGGAGAGATGCGAGTGCATTTCTGTGACTCGTTCTCTCCCTTGCCAGGTTCGGAGCACTGAAGGTGAGAGCTGTATTCAGCCTCAGTTAAGAGCAAGGGGCTCCTGACTGGAGAGAAAAGAGGCCAGGTGCAGCTCCGGGTGCAGGGGGCTGTGCATTGCTGCCTGGTCCTGTAATGCTGCTTGCTGAGCAGCTCGGGAGCAGTGGTGCAGCTGATCCATCACTTTCTTGATTTCAGATTCTCCTGCTGACCGTGAAGCAGATCTTCCCAGACTTTGAGTTCATGTGGCTGGTGGATGAAGCTAAGAAGAATTTGCCCCTGGAGTTGGACTTCCTCAATGAGGGGAGGAATGCAGAAAAGGTGGCCCACATGCTCAAGGACTTTGACTTCCTGAAGGTAGGAGAGTGCGTGCATGTCACACGTGTTTGTGCTAATTTATGTGCATGCACAGGCAGGAGTCAGGGATGGCACCTCAGCTCAGTGCGGGAGGACAATGATGTATAGCAACAATCTTCTGTTTTGAAGTGAATGTAATGCTGGTGATAGTGCTGGATCACCAGTGCTGGAGACTGATGGCCTGATCAGGCCCATCAATGTGCCTCATCCGTGACCTGGAGGAACCAGGTGGAGTGAGGGGAGTTCAGTCCCCATGGCCCATTCAATGCTGGGCTTCTCGCTGAGACTGGCTAGGAATTGAGCTGAGACTCTCCAACTCATTTTCATACTGCAAGCCACTGAACACCTGGCAGATGGTAACAGCTTTCTGTCACTACCACTCTGGGCTGGTTCAAAATCTGGACTTGGGGATGAAAGTCCCTGTACCCTGTGACTCATCGTCTCTGAGCCATCCAGCCCTGCCCTCATCTGGGTTAGATTGTCTCCTCCTGGGCCAGAGAGATTGATTCCATCAGGTCTTCGCCTTGTCGTGAGCACTGTGAATTTGCCATTAGCTGCTGGGCCATCCGATGGCACCTTTCCTGGGTTTCCTCTGAAGCAAGGGCTAGAAATGGAGTTCAAACAGAAGAGCTGGGCTGTAACTAATGAAGTCGGGGGTGAGGCAGGTATGTTGAGCGAGAGAGCCCATGCATATTGCAGTGGAAGGAAGGACACTTCCCCCTCAATCCACCCCCACTGCACACAGACACCCTCCTCACCCAGTGCACATACAGAACCCCTCTCCATGTGTGCACATCCATAGCCAAACACACAGCTCCCCTATGCATACACTCTGCCCACCCTATGCACTGATGCACAGCTACAGCGACACACACATCTGTCTCCTCAAAAACCAACACACTCATCTGCCCACATGCATACCTACATAGTCCTCTCATGCTCATCACCATATAGACAGCCATGTGAGTATGTGCATACGCCCACAGGTCCCCCACTGAAATGCTCAGGGGTGTGCACAAATTCACCCCACATACACACACTGAAACTTGCATGCACAACGCCCATCCTCATGCTTCCACATGTGCATATAAACACGCCTAGGCATATGCACACTCAGACACTGGCATGCAAATCCATTTGCACACACACAAAGACGTACGAACAAATGCACTCACATGACACAAGCACATATGCATCAAGACAACTCTTTCCCTTTGCCTTTCACTTCCTGGTGAAAGTGACAGATGCCCAAGACCATGTGAGTTTTCATTAGGTTTTGCAGGGTGTTGCTTCCCTCGTCCCTCCTGCCTGTCCTGTGATTCCTCATATCCTGGCAGGGGGCATGGGATGATCCTTTTGGAGCTCAGTGGCACCATGTGACTGCCTTTCCCTAAGCACAGTTACAACCCAGTGGGACATTGGGGTGGCAGGAGGCCAAGGACTAACAATTCTGCTGAGGAGATGCTTATCAAAAGTGATGCATCTTGGAGAGCTGTGTCCGTCGCTGTTGTAAGTAGGATATTATGGAGTAAATCCCCATGGAGATGGCCAATCAGGTCCTCGTGGTTTAAAGAGCTGTCAGGATGCTTACACAGGTAACAATAACAAATGGCTGCGAGATGGCTAAATAATGGATCCTCCCATCTGACCTGCCGATTCTGAGAAGTGTTCATCAACACGTAGGCAACAGGAGATTTGGGCTCCTGTATCATTAATTTTCCTAAACACACAACTAAGCTAGGGAGTGGATTTTTTGCTGTGAACCCAGCTGAGCTTTTAAAGCCAGAGATAAATTGTTTCCATGCACTGGCATTACAGCCAAACATCTGTGAGTAATTCAAGAATCACCAAGGACTTTGCCTCGCCTCTCCAAATGCTTGTATGGGGCTTAGTAACCCTCCTAACCCTCCACTGTAAATCTCAAGATGGGGATGAGTGTCAGCTTGGAATTTAAATCCTCTAAAGCCATTGGGTTCAGTATGTTTAGGAGCTAGTGCTCCAGGTAACTGCAGGAGCTGGGGAACCTGTTAATTTTGGAGTCTGTGTCCAGTGGCTGTGGGGCTTTTAACTTCCTGACAAGTTTCAAAATAATAAAAGTCCAGATGGGATGGATCTAGGGGAGACCTTGGGTAAGTGCACTTGCCTTTCATGTTGGACATATGGCCTCAAATCACAGGCGGCTAACACATGAAGGTTGTAGGGAGCATTGCACAGCAGGACTGAGGGGCCCTGGAAGAGCTGGGTGTAAGGGACCCGGGCTAGAATAGCAGGGGCTGCTAGGGGACAGGATTGAGGTGTGGTGGGCATAGGACTGGAATAGCAGGGCAGGCTGCAGGTCAGGAGTGAGGGGCATTCATGGAGCTGTGAGGAGAACAAGAACTGGAGTTCTGGAGGGCAGCAGGTGAGGTTGAAGGCACTGTCACTAACCACAGCCCCTCAGAACTGAAGATATAAAACAAATGCAGCCAGCTTAGGGGTTGTGATGAGCTACAGTGGCATGGCTGGTTCCCCTGGCCTCACTCATACGAGGTGGGCAGCACTGCTTCCCTCTCCCAGGCTTGCCTCAGGGTCACAGACCCTTGCTGTGGGATTAGTGAGCCCACTCCGTAGCATAGCACATCCGCTCAGCTAAGGTGGCTCTAGCTTAGCCCTGCTAACGAAGGGTGCCATGAGGTGAAGCTCTGTCTAGTGGGAGCATTAGCAATCTGGCTCACTTGTCAACAGCAGGAGTCTCAGCCTGCACAGAATGTGGTAGGAGGTGCAAGCTGGTGCTTATGGAAAAGGAGCCAAGCTTGTTTAGGACTCCAGTTTTGCTGAGTCTCTGTGCAACACTGGGGCCAGTTACTCCACCTCTTCGTACCTCACTCAGTCCAATTTACTGCAGCTTGAGCAGAAAGCGCTGTGACGTTTTGCGGTTGTGTGACAGTGTCACATTTGCAATGAGATGCCTACGGGTCTCCCAGGGTTTCCGTGACAAACCCCTTATTTGTGAGGCTTAATTTTTCTCCCATTTCAATTGCTGACAGCTTGAAGTGCATGGGGCTTGTCTGCCTGGGTCCATTGGTGTTCCAAAGGGCACCTTCGAGATACCAATGATGATTATTTATCATTTATAGAGCTCTGTGCACAGTGCACAACAAATACGAACCAGGGTTCTTGCCTGGAGGAACTGACAATGTGACTCAGATGCATGCAACAGGTAATAGTTAGAAGCCTGACCCTGAGAAGGGCTGAGCGTCTAACACCACCCACGGACACCAGTGGATGTCACAAGTGCTCAGTGCCTTGGAGAGTCAGGCCTTAAATGTGGACAGGAGATGGAGTTGCTGAGACCATTGTGCTGTGGGGAGAGGCCTGTGGTCTCCAGTGCTTTTCACCAGGATTAAATGCAGTTAAAGTAACCAAGGAAAAGTACCCATGTGGGTGGATGTGGTGGCATCCCTTCTTGCAAATAGGGAGAGAACATGGGTTCTTTTCACCTCCACTATAAAGTTCCTTTCTTCCTTCCCCTTTTCCTCACTGGTGCATGACTCCCTTGCTGTTGCTGTCCCATGATTTGGCCTAACGCTCCATCATCCCATTCCAGGTCCCTAGGATCTACTGGGAGCTGTCAACCAGGCGCGTCCTTCTCATGGAGTTTGTGGAAGGCGGGCAGGTGAATGACAGGGCCTATATGGAGAGGAACAGCATCGACGTCAATGAGGTAAATTGTCACCCATCTCTGAGGTCGGACACTGAGGGTGTTGCATAGAGATAGAAATGGTGATGTTATTAGACATGGTATCGCTGAGACTGATTGTCCATGAAGGACCAGAAAGGGATGACACGCACATAAATAGAACAGCATCTGTAGTGATACATCTGAGAGAGAACTCTCAATTCTTGTGCTTCAGGGCATAAGAGGTGACCACTTGCTGGGATCAGAAAGGTCCCCCCTGCAACCCATCTACCCTGTAGGATTGCAGAGTTGTATGGATTGACTAAAGGGAGTTCACATCTTTCTCTGCAGCCTGTGCTGTGGTTCGTTGTAGGAGGCAGGACACTGGGTATCTTGCTCAGATAATAGGTGGACTGTTGGTTTGTTCCATGATGGCAATTCATGTTATCCTAGGAAACAGGGTCACCTTCTGACACAGCATCCTTCCTCTTCTCTCTTCTGCATTTTGGCAGAATTTTAACCTTCTTTAAAGTGGGGGTGTTGGTAGGACTTTCGCCTTTAAGTTGCAACATTGTTGGAATTTAGCTTACATCCCTAACAATTTTTAGGGGTCTCTGCTTGGCTTCAGATAGCATCTTTTGAAAGAGCCATACAACCGAGGTCATAGCAGATCATGGTTATTAAAGAGTTTGCAAGAGTCACAGTGTTAACCTTGGTGTGCTGCCCAGATTCCAATTGGTCATTCTATTCTGCTTCCCTAAATCTCCTTCTCTAGTCCCCTCTGTGGTTGAAACTGAGTACAGTTTTCCTTTTCACTTCCTGTCCTAAACAGTTGTATAATGTTGCTATACACTATTAGACAGTTGCCGTGTTTCGTCCCAGAGGTGGCAGCATTTCAGTGATGGGTGAAGTGTTTTCTGTGTATAGCATGAAGTTGATAAAGCATTTTGGGTTCCTTGACATGAAAGGGACTGGAGGAAAGCAAGATATTACCTCCTGAAAGGGCTGAGAACAGGCCTGGGGGAAGGTTTTTGAGCCATTGAACGATGTTTCAACCCTCCCTTCCCAATCTGTGAGTGTTGATTGAGTCAGTGCTGCCAGCCTTTTCCCCTGTGCGCTATTGATGAGCCTCAAAGCACCACTTGGTTGACTAGCTATCAAAGAGCTACAGCATAAAATCAATTGTACTTAATCTGTCCCTCCGCTCGGCTCTGAAATCTGGACGCCTCATCCCTCCCCTCCCTTTTTATCCGTGGCAGAGTTCACTCACCGTCAATTAAGGATGTTCCAAAGAACAGCTGGGGGAAGGGAACTATGTGTGTGTTAGCCCCTTCCAGGCTAGGAAGTTGTCTGTGTCCCCTCAACTGTCCCCAGAAGGCATCAGACACCTCCCTGACTACCTAGGCACACAGAGTTGTCAGGGAAGCATTGGGCAGGTGGGGACCAGGACTAGTGTCTCCCAACCCCTCCCAGCTGATCTGCATTTCACCTGTTCCTTTACATTGTAGCGAGCTGAGCCAATGAGAGGCAACAGTCTCTTGCCCAGTAAAGGGAGGCAGCTGCCTTCTGAAACATGTCTGCTGGGGAGTTCAGTTGGGAAAGCACGAGGAACAAAACAAGGCGAACCTTGATGCTGAATTGGAGAGGAGGCACGCCCCTCCCAGCCATAGGCTTCTTGTCATGTCGGACAAGCCAAGGGCAAGTGCAGAGTACTTTGTATTTTCCCTGCAAAATGGCTGGTCAGGCCCCCGTTTTTATTCAGAGAGCTTCCTCACCTAGCTCACCCTGGCAGCTGACGGCGTAGTCTCTCACTCACTTACACACAGGTTCTTTGCATGGCACATGCAACTGGCTGAGACAGTGGAACCTCTCTAATAGCACTTGCACCCAAGCGCAGGGCTCCCCTCTGGGAGCTGCAGTTCAGGCCCTTAGCCTTGCCATGCACGTTTGCATCCCTAGGCTGTCACAGGGTTCACTCACCACAGGTGCACCTCCTTGTGGCCAGGCGTGGTGTAGCGGCTGTCTCTCCTATGGCACCCACTGCCAACGGTCGCTCCGTCAGTGAGGTGGTCTCTCTTCCTGCAGCTTGGCCCTCCAGCCAGGTAGTGGTTTAGTCCACCCCTTCCAGGATAACAGAGTCCAATCAAGCTATAGTCCAATGACCTTCTAGTATGTATTCCCTCTGTCTCTGGGCTCTGTGGTCCTTACTCTCTGGGGGGTTCCCTCTACTCTTGGTTCCTGCCAAGAAACCTGGTAGTTGACAGCAAGGTCTACTCCCTCAGACTCCTTGCTGCCTCCCTGGATGGCTTCTTACTTCTTCTATCCCCCCAAGAGTGAGTGCAGACTCTCTCCTGGCAGCCCCTTTCTATTACAAATTTCTCGGCTTTATAATCACCACTCAGCCCCTCCCCAGCTGGCCTTCATTATCAGTTCAGCCTAGCTTTCTCTGTCCCTCTCTCTTGCAAGTGCTGCCAGATATGTTAATTGGCCTCTCATGCCCACGTTAACCCCTTCTGGGCCTGTGTGGGGTATGTGCCCCATCACAGGCTGGTTGAGGCCTGTATCCCAAGCATGGGGATGTGTCTCATCAGCAGTGGGCACAGCACACACATTGCCTTTCTTGTGTAGGCTTTGCTACAGGGAAGTTGTCTTGTCTTTACCAAGCTAAATGCATCTGTGACTAGCTCTGTGATACGTCTGGTCTGTGAAGAGCCGTCCCAGTGTGATTCACAAGGTGCTGACGGTTCACTGACTTTGCAATCAAGGGAGACTAAAAGAGCCCGGTCCCCAGCAGATCCCCCACCCACCTCCATTCACCTTAACCCAGTGGGGACTTTGCAGCCTTGCTTTGATCAACCACATAATCAGGCTAGGCTAACAGTTTGTTCCAGACAGGAGCAGCCAGCTCTAGTCACGGAAACATAATTAGGAAACATCTCAGCATGGTTAACCCTGAGATCCAGCCTTTCCTGTTGGGCTGATCTCTGTGGTGGGTGCCTGTTCCCCAGCTCCCAAGCCGCTCTGTGAGAGAAACTCCTTTCAGAGTGAGCTCAATGCTGGTGAGTGGTGCCAAATTGACAGCCTAGATTGAAGGCCTCTCTGCCCCCCCTCGGACAAGTGCAGCATGGGTAGCAGGAGGGAAAGCGGCTTCCACTGCTTTGAAGTAACTCCTAGGGAGGAGCAGGGAGTTCCCGTTCCATGACCTGTTCAGTGTTTGGCCTCACTGCTGAGGCTGGTAACTTAGAGAGCCAATGCCTGACTTGAACTGGCAACCTAGAGGTCTGGCACTTAAAAACCGTAGTGAAAGGTACTTTAAAAACACCATAGACCGAGAGAGAGCGGACAGCTCCATATCCTATTATCCCTTGACCCCCTCTGATCCACCCTGCTCCTTGCCTTTGCCCTGAGGCTGCACTGGAATTGGTAACCTAGAAGAACAAGGGTCTATATTTCATGCCCAACCCCCTGAGGCAGCCACTTGGTGACTTTTCTGAAAGTCTGGGGTCAACCCTCTCCCTCCCTGCTGCTGGAGCCCCCATATCTTGTATTCTCAGGGTCTGGCCAGCATAGAAGAGCTCCTGCTGCAGAAGAGCTGCAGAAGACCGAGTCAACAAGGAGCTCTATTGACATGTTGGAGGTGGAGATTGTCATGCCACAAGTAGGGGTAACCTTTAGAAAGATGTGACCAACTACTAGCTGGATTTTGGCCTGCTCCCAGACAAGGCCTAGCCAGTCATTCAGAGGTGCCTTCTCCCTTCCTTTGAGGAGATGAGTCTTATGCAGCTCTCTTCCCCCTGAGATAAAGTCCTTGCACAAAGCCTGGTGATAGGAGAATGTCAGAAGCAGAGATGAGTCTGATCCACAACATTCTGATCTAGATCGTAACATTCCCCAAGTCTTGAGGAGTTTGGATCTGGAGTTTGGTTTTGACCCATTAGAAATAGGGGCCCAGAGCAACATTTGGAAGCTTCTCCAAGTTTTACAGAGGTGGGTCCACCTCAACTCTGGAAGCCTGGAGAGTCAGTGCAAGTTGAGCCCCCTAAAGTCCAGCTGCTTATCTGACTTCCATCATAGAATCATAGAATATCAGGGTTGGAAGGGACCTCAGGAGGTCATCTAGTCCAACCCCCTGCTCAAAGCAGGACCAATCCCCAGACAGATTTTTGCCCACAATCCCTAAATGGCCCCCTCAAGGATTGAACTCACAACCCTGGGTTTAGCAGGCCAATGCTCAAACCACTGAGCTATCCCTCCGTCCCTCCCTAACAGCTTGGGGCTGCAAAGTTGTCTGGGAAAGCCCGGGGGAGGGGCGTGGAGCAGGCATTCTTGTCAGCTTTCTAGGGTTTCCTGCTCCCGATCAGACTGGAATCTCCACAAGCATAGCCTTTCTCTGGGGCATTTTGGTGTCCGGATGTGACAGAATAATGTAAAGACTAAGCTAACTGCACATTTTCCAATTGACAAAAGCTTTCGGTGGCATGGAGGGGTTCATTCGGAGCCTTGTTGGAAATTCGAGCTGGCTCTTATTCCAGCTATCGTATTTACGCCATTGGGAAGGCTGCGTTACCACATCTCAGTGCGCTGGTGCCTTGAGATGAAACCTCCCAGCATGCTGGCTTTGTGCCAGCCCCAAAGATATTGTCGTAATGTTTCCAGCAGTTGGTTTTAAAAAAGGTCTGCTTCTGCGGGGTGCAAAAACCCCTGGGCTATTGTCTGCCTGGTCTGTCTGTGCAGTTACTGCAGCTCTGTGCTTGGATGGGGTATTTACGCAGGCCATCTCGGTTCCCGTAGACACCACTTAGCTGCTCACTTACACACGTGCAGTTTTAAAAAACGATTAACTCTTTTATTAATTGTCAACAAAACAACAGTACGGAGCTGCGGGTAAAATCTCTCTCTCAGGCACGCTTCTTCCCTACCGTTTTTAACTGGGTGGGGGGAGAGGAGTCCTCAGCAAGCAGGATTTCTCTCATGCAGTAACGCAGACTTGAAGAGCAAGCTGAGCCTCTCTCCTCTAAATGGAAAGGATCCCTGAGGTGAAAGCT